TTAATTGTAAATATGATCAAAGGACTTGAGAGAAGAATGGATGAACAGAGTGAGAAGTTAGAAGTTTTTAATGAGTTGGAAAATATAAAAATGAACCAAACAGATGAAGAGCACAGTAAGTAAAATGAAAAACATGCTAGAAAGAATCACCAGTAGATTAAATGATACAGAGGAATTTATCAGTGAGCTGGATGACAGAGTAGTGAAAATTACTGAAGCTGAACGGAAAAAAGAATAAGATGAAAATAGTCTAAGAGACCTCGGAGACAATACTAAGCATAATAATATTCACATTAGAGCAATCCTAGAAAGAGAATAGAAAGAGGACAGAGAACATATTTGAAAATGTAAGAGATAAGAACTTCCCTAGCCTGGAAAATGAAACAGACATTCAGGTTCAGGAAGCACAGAGAGTTCCAAATAAGATCAACACAAAGAGGATGCATAGTAATTAAAGTGGCAATACTTAAAAATAGAGAATATTAAAAGCAAAAAGGAAAAAGCAACAAGTCCTATACAAGGGAACGCCCATAAGGCTATCAGCTGATTTTTCAGCAGAAACTTTGCAGGTCAGAAGGGAGTGGCATGATATATTTAAAGTGATGAAAGGGAAAAACCTGCAGCCAAGAATTCCTGGCACAGTTTTCATTCAGATTTTAAGGAGAAATAAAAAAATTTTACAGAGAAGCAAAGCTAAAAGAGTTCATCACCATGAAACCACTTTTACAAGAAATGTTAAAAGAATTTCTCTAAATGAAGAAGAAAAGGCCACAACTAAAAGCATGAAAATTATGAAAGGAAAAACTCATTGGTAAAGGTAAATATGGTAAAGGTAGTAAATCAACCATGTACAAACATAGAAGGAAGGCTAACAGACAAAAGTGGTAAAATCATCTATTTTCATAATAAGTATTTAAGGAACGCCAAAAGATGTAAAATATGATGTCAAAAATAGTAAATATGTTCAGTTCAGTTCAGTCACTCAGTTGTGTCCAACTCCTTGCGACCCCATGAATCGCAGCACACCAGGCCTCCCAGTCCATCAGCAACTCCTGGAGTTTACTCAGACTCATGTCCATTGAGTCGGTGATGCCATCCAGCCATCTCATCCTCTGTCGTCCCCTTCTCCTCCTGCCCCCAATCCCTCCCAGCATCAGGGTCTTTTCCAATGAGTCAGCTCTTCGCATGAGGTGGCCAAAGTATTGGAGTTTCAGCTTCAGCATCAGTCCTTCCAATGAACACCCAGGACTGATCTCCTTCAGGATGGACTGGTTGGATCTCCTTGCAGTCCAAGGGACTCTCAAGAGTCTTCTCCAACACCACAGTTCAAAAGTATCAATTCTTCTGCGCTCAGCTTTCTTCACAGTCCAACTCTCACATCCATACATGACCACTGGAAAAACCATAGCCTTGACTAGATGGACCTTTGTTGGCAAGGTAATGTCTCTGCTTTTTAATATGCTATCTAGCTTGGTCATAACTTTCCTTCCAAGGAGTAAGCATCTTTTAATTTCATGGCTGCAGTCACCATCTGCCAGTGATTTTGGAGCCCCCCATAAATAAATTCTGACACTGTTTCCACTATTTCCTCATCTATTTCCTATGAAGTGATGGGACCAGATGCCATGATCTTAGTTTTCTGAATGTATGTTGCAGGGAGTAAAAATGCAGGATTTTAAAAATGCATTTGAAATTAAGAGCTCAGCACCTAGTAATAATTATGTATATTTAAATTGGTATAAATAAACCTCATGGTAACCACAAACCAAAAATGTATAATAGATACAAATACCAAAAGAGAAAGGAATCCAAACATAACATTAAACATTGTTATCAAGTCACAAGGTAAAAGAACAACAGAAAAAGAAACAAAAAAGGACTACAGAAACAACTCCAAAATAATTAACAAAATGGCAGTGAATATATACCTATCAAAAATTATTTTAAGTGTAAATGGACAAAATGCTCTAATAAAAAGACACAGAGTGGCTGAATGGATACAAAAACAAGACTCATATATTTACTGCCTACAAGGGACTCACTTCAGGTCTAAAGACACACACAGATTAAAAGTGAAGGGATGAAAAAAGACATTCCAGGAAAATGGAAATTTTAAAAAAATCTGGAGTGGTGATACTTATGCCAGACAAAAGACTTGAAAACAAGGACTGTAACAAGAAACAAAGAAAGATAATATATAATGATTGAGAGGTCAATCCAACATAAAAATATAACAATTGTAAATACATAGCACCCAACATAAGAGCACCTAAACACATAAAGCAAGTACTTACAGACAGAAAGGAGAAATTGACAGTAACAAAATAATAGTATGAGACTTTAATATCCTACTTACATCAATGGATGGATCATCCAGAAAAAAAATCAATATGAAAACACTGACATTAAAAGACACATTAGGCAAAATGGACTTAATAGATATGTATAGAACATTTTATCAAAAAGCAAGCGAATACACATTCTTTTCAAGTATACATTGGATATTCTCCAACATAGATCACATGCTAGGTCAAAAACAAGTTTCAATAAAATGTAAGAAAACTGAAATAATATCAAGCATCTTTTCCAACCACAATGCTATGAGACTAGAAATCAACTACAAAGGGAAAAAAATCTGCAAAAAGTAACCACAAACATATGTACACTTACACACACACACACACACACACACACACAATTGGGACTTATATTCAGGTTTGTTTCCAATAAAGAATTAAATCTCTACTAAGCCTCTTTCTCCTGTCATCTCAATCACCCAGTCAGACTCCTTTGTGCTTGGCATTTAAGATGTCATTCCAGTGTGACCATGTAGGCTCAAAACATCTATGAGTTTTAGTTCTCAAGTACAAGAAAATTTAATTAATCTCTGAAAGATGATTGATCCTGCAGAAATCTAAGAATAAGAAACTAGTGTTATACAACAAGATAATAGTTCAAATATACTGACACTGTGTATGATGCTCCTACTTGGAAATTTTAATGGGCTCATCTTACAAAGGATTTTACAGATGGGCAGCCTCAGGCAGGGACATTGACATTCAATCAGTGGCAACTTCCTTAACAGAATCTATTTTTAAGGACAAATTTACATTTTTAAAACAGTTTTGAAGAACAGTCAAGTTTAGCAGAAAGGAGAAAATTTAGGCTTCTATGGGTCCAGGAAAATCAGGCTCTGAATCAGATTTGTTATGTAATTTTTTGCTAGAAATTTATCTTACTTAGGTTGAAGTGAAACCTTTTACTGAAACTCCAGAAGGACAAGTTGTCTGTTTTGATGCCAAGATAAGCTTTGAGGATAATTCACTATATATACAAGAAGATGTATTTGCCATGGACAACAAATAAAAAATACATCTACTAATATGTTATCAGATGTGACCTAAAGTACATAAAATTAAACGGGAATACCATGTGCTTTGTATTCGGTGCTGCGCTAGACATTGCTCCATATGACATCAGTTCTCTTCATGGTCAAAGTCCAGCCAACTTCTTGGATCTCAGTGTTAGGGAAGCAGTGTATTAAATATTTTAATTGCTTATTGCTGATCCTAAGGTGAATAGTGAAATTTGCTAATATTACTGATAACACCATCAAAGACTGCTGAAAACTAGAACTCATATCTCTGGTGATCAGGCTTGAAGGAATCAAGGTGCAAGAGTCTCAGAGCATATTCAACAACATCCAACTCCCTGTTACTTCTGGCATTGACTTGGAAGATACAGTCAGGAAATCTGTGGCCAGCTTGACAAGGAAGTCATTCCTCTGTTTCTAATCCATTGTGGGTAGAAGTCTCTATTCTTAGAAAAAGAGACAGTTCAAATCACTAGGAAGAAAATAGTGTCCATTGGAGGTAGTGGGGGGAAGTGAGTGAGGGTCAGGAATCATAAACAAAAATATTATATCTATAGTTTTTTGGTACCTAAGGATTAGGTACCTAAGTAGCTTAAATAATTCTGATTTCACATACAACTTTCATTAAATAATGGCCTATCTTGTGTTATATTCTTTATCATGGTAAATCTGCCAGCGAACAGCATTTTGTTGACGTTTGGGAGCAATCTATATGGTCAATGTGGATAGAGTGAAAATTTTAACTCAGGACCTAGTTTATTTAAGAAAATTCTGCAGGACATATAGTCCAGAGTTAAAAAAAGGTGAAAGAAAAAATCTCAAGCATAATCACACTTGAAACAGATGGTTTGAAAAGATACAACTGAAATATAGCCATAACAAAAATTATAACAAATAGCTATTACACAACATAATAACAAATTTCTTATTCTAACACATATTGTGAATTAATTGTTCTTCCAAAAATATTTTTGTACTGTTTACCCCACATACGTATCATACATTTGCTTCATCTTCTATATTCTATTATCTTAAAATCAACATGATACCTGAAGGCTTGTTTGCATCTGTGAAACAGAATTTTTATATTTCAAAGCTGAATAATTTTGATTATTTGAAAATCTATATATTTAATTCATTTTCAAGTAACACACCACTGAAGATTAAGTTTGTTATAGATATTAGTGCCTTAAATTAATTTTATTTCTTCAGAATCTATCAGCCTGTTGTTGAAAGAGGGGAAGAAATAATAAAGAAAGCAGGTTTTTTTTTATGATATTTATGTGATGGAAAAGAATTTGATTTAGGTTTTTGTTAACATGGCTGGGGTATTCATCTGTCCAGAATTTTCTAAGACTCTCCAGATCTCAAACATTTTCATTGTCAGATTGTATTTTAAATGATGAGTCTCAATATTTTGTCCATAAAATATGTTACCATGTACATGGAGACATTTTTTAATTTTATACAGAAACTGAAAAACATGAAGTTTACAGTGATATTATATTTTCACTCAGCATTTATTGGTGGGCAATGAAGATAGAAGATAAATAATGTGAAGCCTGCCCTAAAAAATCCCAAGAAGCAGAAAACCTCATGGAAAAGGTGAATTTAATGCTGAAGAATGAGTGGTAAGCTACAGATATGGATAGATTTTGATAGGACCCCATTGGAAGGAGTGTCACTGATAAATCTTTTTTTAGTATGCCCAGAAATTTTCTACATATAGCAAAAAAAATTCCACTGAATTGCATGTCTCTGCTTAGTTCAGTGGTGTGTCATATAAAATTCTATAACTTTATATTTCATGGCATAGTATATTTAAATATTTTAGTGGAAATCTAGAGCAGCCTTTGAAAATCTGACTTTTCGTACTTGAAATTCCACATAACAGCTGGGTTTAGAACAGAAGTTCTTTCTGTTGTTATTGTAGAAAGGGTGTTTCTTCTATGAAGCATTTCTGAAATTCAAAAACATTATTTATAAATTCATAAATCTTTAACTTCAACAAACTGTTCTTGAGTAGCTACTAAAGTCAGTCAGTTCAGTCATTCAGTCATGTCTGACTCTGTGTGGCCCCACAGACTTCAGCATGCCAGGACTCCCTGTCCATCACCAACTCGTGGAGTTTACTCAAATTCATGTCTATTGAGTTGGTGATGCCATCCAACCATGTTATCCTCCTGCCCTCAATCTTTCCCAGCATCAGGGATTTTCAGATGAGTCAGTTCTTGGCACCAGGTGGCCAAAGTATTGGAGTTTTGGCTTCAGCGTCAGTCATTCCAATGAATATTTAGGACTGATTTCCTTTAGGATGGACTGGTTGGATCTCCTTGCAGTCCAAGGGACTCTCAAGAATCAACTCCAACACCACAATTTAAAAGAATCAATTCTTTGGTGCTGAGCTTTCTTTACACTCCAACTCTTACATCCATACATGACTACTGGAAAAACAGTAGCTTTGACTAGACAGACCTTTGTTGGTAAAGTAATGTTTCTGCTTTTTAATATGCTGTCTAGCCTCCTAGAGGAGAACATAGGCAAAACACTCTCCGACATAAATCACAGCAGGATCCTCTATGACCCACATCCCAGAATTTCAGAAATAAAAGCAAAAATAAACAAATGGGACCTAATGAAACTTAAAAGCTTTTGCACAACAAAGGAAACTATAAGCAAGGTGAAAAGACAGCCCTCAGATTGGGAGAAAATAATAGCAAACGAAGCAACAGACAAAGGATTAATCTCAAAAATATACAAGCAACTCCTCCAGCTCAACTCCAGAAAAATAAATGACCCAATCAAAAAATGGGCCAAAGAACTCAACAGACATTTCTCCAAGGAAGACATACAGATGGCTAACAAACACATGAAAAGATGCTCAACATCACTCATTATCAGAGAAATGCAAATCAAAACCACAATGAGGTACCATTACACGCCAGTCAGGATGGCTGCTATCCAAAAGTCTACAAGCAATAAATGCTGGAGAGGGTGTGGAGAAAAGGGAACCCTCTTACACTGTTGGTGGGAATGCAAATTAGTACAGCCACTATGGAAAACAGTGTGGAGATTTCTTAAAAAGCTGGAAATAGAACTGCCATATGACCCAGCAATCCCACTTCTGGGCATACACACCGAGGAAACCAGATCTGAAAGAGACACGTGCACCCCAATGTTCATCGCAGCACTGTTTATAATAGCCAGGACATGGAAGCAACCTAGATGCCCATCAGCAGACGAATGGATGAGGAAGCTGTGGTACATATACACCATGGAATATTACTCAGCCATTAAAAAGAATTCATTTGAATCAGTTCTAATGAGATGGATGAAACTGGAGCCCATTATACAGAGCGAAGTAAGCCAGAAAGATAAAGACCATTACAGTATACTAACACATATATATGGACTTTAGAAAGATGGTAACGATAACCCTATATGCAAAACAGAAAAAGAGACTCAGATGTATAGAACAGACTTGTGGACTCTGGGAGAAGGCGAGGGTGGGATGTTTCAGGAGAACAGCATTGAAACATGTGTATTATCTAGGGTGAAACGGATAACCAGCTCAGGTTGGGTACATGAGACAAGTGCTCGGGCCTGGTGCACTGGGAAGACCCAGAGGGATCGGGTGGAGAGGGAGGTGGGAGGGGGGACTGGGATGGGGAATACATGTAAATCCATGGCTAATTCATATCAATGTATAACAAAAACTACTGTAATGATGTAAAGTAATTAGCCTCCAACTAATAAAAATTTAAAAAAAAATAAAAATAAAAATAAAGTGAGTTGATCATTATAAAAAAAAATAAATAAATAATAATATGCTGTCTAGGTTGGTCATAACTTTTCTTCCAAGGAGTAAGCATCTTTTAATTTCATGGGTGCAATCACCATCTGCAGTGATTTTGGAGCCCCCCAAAATAAAGTCTGACACTGTTTCCACTGTTTCTCCATCTATTCGCCATGAAGTGATGGGACCAGATGCCATGATCTTAGTTTTCTGAATGTTGAGCTTTAAGCCAACTTTTTCACCCTACTCTTTCACTTTCATCAAGAGGCTCTTTAGTTCTTTGCTTTCTGCCATAGGGTGGTGTCATCTGCATATCTGAGGTTATTGATATTTCTCCCAGCAATCTTGATTCAGCTTGTGCTTCATCCAGCTAGAATTCCATCACCTCCACTAGCTTTGTTCCTTCTATCTGCCTACTTTCTGGAGAGTTTTATAATAAATGAGTGTTGAATTTTGTTGATAGCTTTCTCTGCATCTATTGAGATGATCATATGGTTTTTATCTTTCAATTTGTTAATATGGTTATCACATTGATTGATTTGTATATATTGAAAAATTTAGAAATGTATCCATTTCTTCTAGATTGTCCATTTATTGGCATATATTTACTCATAATTGTCTCATATAATCCTTTGTATTTCTGTGCTGTCTATTGTAACTTCTCCCTTTTCCTTTATAATTTTATCAATCTGAGGCTTCTCCTTTTTTTCTTGGTGAGTCTGGCTAATGGTTTTTCAATTTTGTTTATCTTCTCAAAGGATCAGCGTTTATTTTTAGTGATTTCTGCTATTGTCTCCTTCATTTCCTTTATATTTATTTCAGCTGTGATCTTTATGATTTCTTTTCTTCTAAGTTTGTGGGTTTTGTTATTATTGCTCTTCTTCTTCTGGTTGCTTTAGGTGTAGGGTTAGTTTATTTATTTGATGTTTTTCTTGTTTCTTGAGGAACACTTGTTTGCTAAATCCCTGATTTTCTTTAATACTCCTCAATCTTGTAGAGTAACTAATGGTGGACAAGAATGACTATACAGTTTTTAACATTTTATGTCTCAGTAGAGTCAATTAACAATGTGTTTAATTTCAAATGTACAGCGAAGTGATTCAATTATACATATACATGTATCTATTCTTTTTCAGATTGTTTTCCATTTGGATTATACAGAGCATTGAGCAGTGTTCTCTGTGCTATACAATAGGTCCTTGTTGATTATCCATTATAGATTTAGCAATGTGTACAACTCAGTCCCAAATTCCTAATCTGTCCCTCCATGCTCTCCTCCTCCCTGGGAACCAAAGTTTGATCTCTAAATCTGTGACTCTGTTTTTGTTTTGTAAGAAGTCCATTCGTATGGTTTTTTTCTATTGGACATATAGTAATCAGTTCAGTTCAGTCGCTCAGTCATGTCTGACTCTGCAACCCCATGAATCGCTGCACACCTGGCCTCCCTGTCCATCACCAACTCCCAGAATCCACCCAAACCCATGTCCATTGTGTCGGTGATGCCATTCAACCATCTCATCCTCTGTCGTCCCCTTCTCCTCCTGCCCCCAATCCCTCCCAGCATCTTCGCATCCCAACTCTTCGCATGAGGTGGCCAAAGTATTGGAGTTTCAGCTTCAGCATCAGTCCTTCCAATGAACACCCAGGACTGATCTCCTTTAGGATGGACTGGTTGGATCTCCTTGCAGTCCAAGGGACTCTCAAGAGTCTTCTCCAACACCACAGTTCAAAAGCATCAATTCTTCGGTGCTCAGCTTTCTTCACAGTCCAACTCTCACATCCATACATGACCACTGGAAAAACCATAGCCTTGACTAGACGGACCTTTGTTGGCAAAGTAATGTCTCTGCTTTTTAATATGCTGTCTAGGTTGGTCATAACTTTCCTTCCAAGGAGTAAGCGTCTTTTAATTTCATGGCTGCAATCACCATCTGCAGTGATTTTGGAGCCCCCAAAAATAAAGTCTGACACTGTTTCCACTGTTTCCCCATCTATTTCCCATGAAGTGATGGGACCAGATGCCATGATCTTAGTTTTCTGAATGTTGAGCTTTAAGCAAAGTTTTTCACTCTCCTCACTTTCATCAAGAGGCTCTTTAGTTCTGCTTTACTTTCTGCCATAAGGGTGGTGTCATCTGCATATCTGAGGTTATTGATATTTCTCCCGGCAATCTGATTCCAGTTTGTGCTTCTTCCAGCCCAGTGTTTCTCATGATGTACTCTGCATATAAGTTAAATAAGCAGGATGACATATAGTAGTAGCATATATTTGTCATTACTTCACTTAGTATAATAATCCCCACCTTCCCTGGTGGCTCAAATGGTAAAGAATCTGCCTGGAATGCAGGAGACCTGGATTCAATCCTTGGGTCAGGAAGATCTCTCGAGAAGGGAATGGCCATTCACTCCAGTATTCTTGCTTTTAGAATTCCATGAACAGAGGAGCCTAGTAGGCTACAGTGCTGGGGTTCCAATGAGTCAGACATGACTGAGTAACTAACACTTTTGCTTTTCACTTTCAATAATCCCCAGGTCCATCCATGTTATTGCAAATGGCATAACTTCATTGTTTTTAATGCTGAGTAACATTCCATTGAATATACGCACTACATCTTCTTTATCCACTCATCTGTCAACGGACATTTAGGCTGATTCCATGTCTTGTCTATTGTAAGCAGTTCTGCAATGAACATTGCAGTGCATGGATTCTTTCAAATCATGTGTTTTTCTGGATATATGTCCAGGAATGGGATAGCAGGATCATTTTATAGATCTATTTCTTAAGGAACCTCCATACTGTTCACCACTATAGCTTTACCGTTTTACATTTCCACCAACAATGTGGGAGGGTTTCCTTCTCTCCACGCCCCTTCCAACATTTATTGTTTGTAGATGTTTTGATGATGGCCATTTTTACTAATGTGAGGTAACAACTCTTTTAGTTTTGATTTGCAACACCTTAATAATTAGAAATGTTAAGCATTTTTTCATGTGCTTCTTGGCCATTTCAGTGTATTTGAAATGTCTGTTTAGGTCTTCTGCCCATTTCTTCATTGGACTGTTTTGGTTTTTTTTTTATATTGAGCTGCATGAGCTGTTTGATTAATCTCTTGTTGGTGAACTGTTTGCAAATATTTGCTTCCATCCTATGGATTATCTTTTCAT